CAATTCCTAGAGAAAGGAAGTCTCTTTAAAAAATGGTCCTGGGAAAACTGGATCTCCGCATGTAGAAATATGAAACAAGACCCCTTCCTTACACCTCATACAAAAAACTTAAAATACATCAGGGTTCTAAATCTACAATGTGATACCATGAAATTACTACAGGATAACTTGAGGGAAGCTCTGTAATTCACTAGCATAGGCAAAGACTTCTTGGGAAAGATCCCAGAAGCATAGGCAGTCAAAGCCAAAGTTGACAAATGGGATAACATCAAGCTGAGAATCTTCTGCACTGCAAAGATAACACTTAGGAAAATGAAGAGGCAGCTAACAGAATGGAGAAAATATTTGCAAACTATGCCACTGATAAAAAGTTACTATCCAGAATACCTATAAAGAGCTCAAGAAACTCAACAACAACAAAACCACCAATCCACTTGAGAAATGGGCAAAGGACTTGAACAGGCATTTTTCAAAATAGGAAATTCAAATGGCCAATAGACACACCAAAAATTACTCAGGATTGTTAGCCATCAGGGAAATGCAAATAAAAACCATAATGAGGTTTACCTCACCCCAGTTAGAATGGCTCTTGTACAGAAATAATAAAAAAAAAAAAAACAATAAATCTGGTGAGGATGTGCAGAAAAAGGTACCCTAATCCACAGTTGTTGATAATGCAACCCAGTACAGACAGCCACTGTGGAAACAGTATGGAGATTCCTCAGCAAACTGAAAATTGATCTACATATGACCAGCCATCCCACTCTTGGGAATATATTCAAATGAACTGAAATCAGCATATGAAAGAGTTATATGTACCCTCATGTTTACTGCAGTTTAATTCACAATGGCTAAAATATGAAATCAACCCAGATGCTCAACAACCAATGAAATGTGGTATATATACACAATGGAAAACTATTCAGCCATAAAACAGAATTAAATCCTGTCTTTTGCAACAAAATGGATGTAACTGGAAACCATTATATTTAGTGAAATAAGCCAGTCCCCAAAAAACAAGTACCATATGTTTTCCCATGACAGATCAATGGGCATGCAGCTGGACTTCAGAGAACATGAGGTGAAAAACTACCTAATACTACAGCGAATTCCCTTATCTTAAACAAGGCACTCAAATCCTATGGAGAACTTTGTTCAGGTGACATTCAGCATCACCCTTTAAAATCAGCTTCCATTTTGTGCCTCATCATCCTAGAGAGCCTAGAAGCAGCGTAGCAAGAAAAAAAGTCTAGAAAGGAAAATGACATAACTGTTAGTATTTTCAGAACTTTCCTGAGGAGAAAATTCAGAATAATCTATGGATAACAACATTGCTGGCAGGAGCCGGTGTTGTGGTGCAGTGGGTTAAGCTACCATCTCCAGCCCAGGCATCACATATTGGCACCTGTTTGAAACCCCGCTGCTCCAGTTCTGATCCAGCTCCCTACTGATATGCCTCGGGGTGGGGGGGTGGCAGCAGATGATGGCTCAAGTGTTTGGGCCCCTGCTACCCTGTGGACAACCTGGATGAAGCCCCTTGCTCCAAACTTCCAGGTTAGCCTTTGTGGCCATCTGGGGAGCGAACCAGTGGAAGGAAGGTCACTCGCTTCTCTCTCTCTGTAAATCTGCCTTTCAAATAATCTTTAAAAAAAATTGTTTGCAGCTTTCAGTGACAGACTATATCTATTAAGTACAAAAATGCTAGAAAAATTAATATAATAGATGTCATTATACTGAGGAGAGTAAGGTTTTTAGGGGTGCGTGTAATTGCTAATGAAAGGTACACAAGATCTTTCTCACAGGAACAAATGGCTAAACTCCATTGGAAGCCATGAAATATGACTGAAACACCTAGAGAAATGTATACATCATGGATGGGAAGACCCAACAAGGATGAAAACTCCCTTAGTTGATCTGAAGATTATGCAAATTTCCAAGCTACAGCAAAGTGTGTTTGCAAGCTAATTTACAAAAGGAGCATACCCAAGCAACAGGTGCAAAACAGACCAAGCTTACGTGAAACTGAAGGTGGGTGGAGGCCTTCCAGACAAGAAGGCTGCAAACAGCATTTCCAAAGGAAGCATCATGGAGGTAAATAAAGTGATAGAGTGTGGCATAGCGGGTAAAGCTGCTGCCTGTGGTGCCAGCATCCCATATGGGTGCCAGTTCAAGTTTCAGCTGTTCCACTTCTGATCCAGTTCTCTGATATGGCCTGGGAGGGCAGTAGAAGTTGGCCCAAGTTCTTGGGCCCCTGTGCCTGCGTGGGGGACTTGAAAGAGGCTCCTCCTGACTCTTAGCTTCAGAACAGCTCATATCCAGCCACTGCGGCCATTGGGGAGTGGGACAGTGGAAGGAAGACTTTTCTCTCTCTCTCCTACCTCTCTCTGTAACTCTTTCAAATAAATAAAATAAATCTTTTAAAAAATGAAATGAAGGGGCTGGCGCCGTGGCTCACTTGGTTAATCCTCCGCCTGCGGCGCTGGCATCCCATATGGGCGCCGGTTTCTAGTCCTGGTTGCTCCTCTTCCAGTCCAGCTCTCTGCTGTGGCCTGGGAGGGCAGTGGAGGATGGCCCAAGTGCTTGGGCCCCTGCACCCACATGGGAGACCAGGAGGAAGTGCCTAGCTCCTGGCTTTGGACCAGTGCAGTTCTGGCTGTAGTGGCCATTTTGGGGGTGAAACAATGGAAGTAAAACCTTTATCTCTGTCTCTTTCTCTCTCAGTAACTCTGTCAAATAAAAAAAATGGACTGAAAAGATGTCATTGTGAAAATTCGAAAGAAAGGATAAGAAAGGAAGGAGGAGGGATGGTAGGAGGGTAGGGTTGGAAGTAGCACTATGCTCCTAAATCTGTATATATGAAACAAATGAAATTTGTTCACCATATGTAAATTAAAAAATAAATTCTTCGTGGTTTTTTACCTCCTTGGTTTCACTTGTTCCATATTTATTCTTTCTCTGGAAGCTTCCCTCCCTTCACTGTCTGCATTTAAATGGGATGCACTTATATCTCGGGAGAAGACCAAACTGCTTTTCCACCTAATGCCTTTTGGTTTCACTCTAGAGTGAGTCACTTCCACTCATCCAGTGAGAGTATTTTTCAGGGGGATAGCCCAATTGTTGCAACCTTCTGGAAGGCTAATATTATGGTGGTCTTTGGAGTTATCTGGAGGGAAGACAGATGGCAGGTGCAGAAATCATGTTTCCTAAGCAGCTATGTCACCTAAGGCAGGTTGTGGCATCCCAAAACACAGAGAAGTTGTTGGAAGCTTATTTTGAAGTAATTATACTGCTCTGCCCATGGATCAGAGCACTGGAGGAAGCAGTCACTCTTGCAAAAGGTTGTTACATATCTATTACTTATACTTCAGGATATTAAGATTAGGACACAGCTAATTCTTCCTGAAATTAGAAATCGAAATGCAATTAGAACTTTCTAATTAAGATGGCATAAATATTTATGAGTATGATGCACATTTCAAATGGCTGGAACGCAGAATATCTCTTTGAAATATGATGAGGATGAAAACCAGTGCTCAGTCACTCCCTCCTGTGAAAAAGTACCCCCAAAAGGCTGAACACACACAGAGGATGTGAATGAAAACACACTCTTACCTACACAACCACAATCTCTTTCTTTAGCACCTATAGGTAGGCTCAGAAATACCTAATCACTGGGATCTTTAATAGGGACATACTGCTAGTCCATCAGGCCAGCTATTATCAGATTTTTTTTTTGACAGACAGAGTGGACAGTGAGAGAGAGAGAGAGACAGAGACAAAGGTCTTCCTTTGCTGTTGGTTCATCCTCCAATGGCCGCCGCGGCCGGCGCGCTGTGGCCGGTGCACCGCGCTGATCCGAAGGCAGGAGCCAGGTGCTTCTCCTGGTCTCCCATGGGGTGCAGGGCCCAAGCACTTGGGCCATCCTCCACTGCACTCCCTGGCCATAGCAGAGAGCTGGCCTGGAGAGGGGCAACCGGGACAGAATCCGGCGCCCCGACCAGAACTAGAACCCGGTGTGCCGGTGCCACTAGGCGGAGGATTAGCCTGGTGAGCCACGGCGCCGGCCTATTATTAGATTTTATGGTTTTTCTAACTCAGGAACATTGAAAACATATTTAAAGGGCATTGTACAAGGACATTGTTAGTTGTTACAAGAAGCTGACATGTCTGGAGCCAGCACTTGGTATTGGGTGGGGAGTGGGGGGAAGCACTTAACTGTAGGATTGATTCTGCCTCTTCAATTCCCCAATCCTGTGAGCATGAATAAGTGTTTCATCCTTTTAAACTTCCAGACAAATAGAGGCATTAGTGGGGATATACAGAAGTAACCCTTGGGAAAGTACTTGGAAAAGTTAAAAAAGAACAATGCACCCAAGCATTATTGTTGTTGGTGTAATTATTACTTAATTATTACCCTATAAGCTGATGGATTACATACATATAATAAATATTTCTTCTACCATAAAGGAGTACCTGGAACTGGGAAAGGTAGGAGGAAGGAAGCCATGGACAGGAAGGAAACAGAATGAGTGAATCTGTCAGGAGGAGTCAGAGAAGGATCAAATTCACAAAGCTGTTGAGGAAATTGCCATAATTCTAGGCCTTATGGCAGATTGCTTGAGAGAACAATGGACACGTCAATCAACACCCCAGTCCCGGAGTCCAGCACACCACAGGTGCTAGAAGGAATACAAAAGAAGAGCCAGGCTTGCCCTGGGGGAAATTAGAATTAAGTAGAGAAATGAGATGTAAATCAGGAAGCAGAATAAGACTGTATAATAATTGGCCTGCACTGGGCAAAAGCATATTAGTGCTGCCAATCCACCTATATTGATCAGCAACAGTAGTAGTTGGGTGCACTATGTAGGCCCCCAGTCCTGGGTCCTGTGTTAGAGAAGCCCATTAGGCCCTTCAGTGACCAGGGTCTCCTTCATAGAATGTAAAGTTTGTGGGGGGTCAGAAGACATGCTTGCTGGTGACCCCTCACCTTCCTCTTCCAGCTGTACCTAGTACCCTGGAGCTCCCCAGAGCCTCTTCTTTTGGATCATCTTCCTCAAGGGTGGAGGACAGGATGCTGCTCATCTTGCCTGAGGAGTGGACAAGAGACAGCTGCTTGGAGGGACGAGATGGAGAAAGAACTTGGGTATCGAGATTGGAGCATTGCATGTGTGAGACTCCTTTGTTGGGGTGGAGGTAGGGAAGGATGGGGAGTAAGTGGCTCAGGCTGAGACCTAGGGGCTGGATTGTCTTCCAAAGCCAACTTCTCGGAAAGAACTAGGAGTCCAAGGGTTCAAACCTGGCATTTGAGTCAATAGTAGGTCTCTTTTTCAAGGTAAGAGGATAGCGATTTTAGTTCACAGTGTATTAGCTTGTTTTAGACATCCTATGCAGGCTGGACTGTTTTCTGGCCTGCAAGTATTAGTGGCATGCCTGAATGCTACAGTAATTTGGAAAAGGGAGAAACCAACGTTTCCAAGGCAGCCGAGGCAGTGATGGATCAAAAGGAGCAGAAAAGGTTGTCGGAAGCTGGTTTGAAGTAATTAAGCTGATCTGCTCCCAGATCATAGCACTGGAGGAAGTAGCTACTCTAATTCTACACTAGATTGCTGTATGCCTATTAACTTGTACTTTAGGATACTAAGATTGAGAAGAAGTCAGTTCCTTCTGAAATTCAGCTGCATCGGGGAGACTTCCCCCAGGAGTTGGGATCTGACTTTTGCCTTGAACAATCTGTCAAGATTGGGAAAGATTTCCAAAGCCTGTGAACAATGGGGCAAAGTCCTGGAGGTGATGATGGTAACAAGGGTGACCTTACTCCTGTCAGACAGTGTTGATTTTTTTCTAGCCCAAACACTTTCTTTACTCCCCTGTGGCTAAATTCCTATACTGTCTTCACATTTTACTGCAGTGCCGCTTCCTCCATGGAGCCTTCTCAGGATTTCTACATTCTATAAACTCACCTGCCTATTCTGGTCACCTCTGGAAGTATCTACACCATCAGCATGCAGAAGCAGTTTTAGAAATCCTATGGTACTTGGGCATTTGTAGTTGCCACTACCCAGTTTAGAATTTGTCAGATGCATAGATTCAGGGATGTTTGGCTTTCTTAAAACTGGAAGCTCCTGGAGATATCAAGAGCCTTTTGGTTAAACAGAGTGCTATTCTGACAGGTCTGTGTTTGAATCAAGGAGAGACAGAAGGGGGGAGGAGAATCAATTACTTGATTTCTCAGACTACCATCAAACTTCCTTCTTACAGCAGAGCCTCTGAGAATGTGTATCCCCTGGGCAAACTGAGGGCCTAGCCCTAAGGTATGCATGTCAAGCCTGGACATTCACTAGAGGCCTTTTGTTTTATCTTCATACTTCATGCAGATTTTATATTCTGCTCCATGATGCATTCTGTATATGTTCAAATAAAGTCTTAAATATTTTATCACTGGGTAAAATCAACCTCTCTTAAAAGATTTACCATGCCAATTCTATGAAGAGTGAATTATTCTCAGAGCTGAGCATAGCACTTGGCACAAAGAAGATGCTTGATAAATGTTTGCTGACTGAATAAATGAAAGGCTCATGCTAGGGAGTGTCACACACCCAGTCCGTCACACTGTGTTCCCAACAGGAAGCTTCCCTGAGTAGTTGGAACAGCTGGAGCTAAGGATGTTATTACAGTGGTCCACACTGAGAGAAAGGGCAGGTCAGTATTGGCAGGGATAGATATGAGAACTGCTTGAAAGGAAGAATAAATTAGGCTGAAGGACTGATTGCAAATGAGGACCTAAAGAAAGCATGATAGTCAGACATGAGGAAGTTTCTAAAGGGAGGGAATATTTAATTCAACCTTGACATTTGAGTTGGTGATGTTAGTGGCAGCTTCGGATACTCCTGGGTCCTCTTTCCCAGGCAGAAAGGGCTTTGAGAAAAACAAAATCCGATCATTTCCAACAAAATGGATGAAATTGGAAAACATCATACTTAGTGAAATAAGCCAGTGCCAAAGGGTCAAATTCTATAAGTTCTCCCTGACCTGTGATAACTAATCGAGCACCTAAAAGGCAATCTGTGAAATTGAGACTCTGAGAAGCAATGACTGAACAGCCCTCTTGATTGTTGAGGAACAGCTATTTTTAATTTTTTTCTTTTCTTTTCCTTTATCATATTTTCTTTATCTTTTTTTCTTTCATACTAATCATTGAACTCTTAACATCGAGTTAACCACATGTGTATAAAGTTAATTGAAAATATATCTTAGTAAAAAGTAAGAGTGAGAATAAGAAAGGGAAGAGGAAGTGGGGGAGGATGTGAGCGCAGGTGGGAGGGCAGGCACAGTGGGAAGAATTACCAAGATCCTAAAGTTGAAATTGTGAGATAACTGTAAAGCTATATAGTTCTACATATATTCCTATGGACTTACTTCTAAGGGTAGAGTTCATTTATTTAATTTTTAAGCTTTATTTATTTGAAAGAGTTACACAGAGAGAGGAGAAGCAGGGAGAGAGAGAGAGAGAGAGGACTTCCATGCGCTGGTTCACTCCCCAGTTGGCCGCATCAGCCAAGGCTGCGCCGACCTGATGCCAGGAGCCTCCTCTGGGTCTCCCACATGGTTACAGGGGCCCAAGGACTTGGGTCATCTTCTACTGCTTTCCCAGGCCACAGGAGAGAGCTGGATCAGAAGTGGAGCAGCCAGGACTCAAATTGGCACCCAAATAGGATGCTGGCACGGCAGGCTGTTTTACCCACTATGCCACAGCACCAGCCCCAAGGGTACAGTTTATAAACTTGCCATGGGACCCCAAATTCCCTTAAGCTGGCTGCTAAAAATAGCACTTACATGTTATAGAGATAATATGGATAGGATTAAGTGCTAAAGTGACCATATAGAAAGGATTCAGTGTTAAAGTGATCATATACATAAGACTAAGTGTTTGGTAATAATAATAGAATTAAAGAGGAGTGAATGCTCCAACGTGGGAAGCAGTCCATATAGCAGACTCATAGAATGACAATCACTTTAAGTAGCACTCAGACCTCAGAATCAGCCCATAAGGCATTCTGGTCTGGCTGAAAAGCCTGTGAGAACATTTCAGGCATGGAAAGCCAAGACATGGCAAATATGTTCTCGGTGGGTGAGATCACAGTGGAAAGAAGTAGCCGCCAAAGACGGAGGTACTTCTCTCTGAAGGTAGGAGAGAACTTCAACTTTGCTTATGACCTTGTCAAGTTAGTGGATCCAAAAGGCTTCTGTAGCCAAATCAGCTCATGTCAAGAGCCTTGGGTAATCACTGACTTTGAATATAAGAGTGTAAATTGTTAAATAAACAACAAAAGTCACTGTGCACTAATTTCCCATGCAGGATCGCTGTTCTCAAAGAGTTGTATCATGAGACTTAATAGTAAAAACTTGTTCTTAAGAATCACTTCCGCCGGCGCCGCGGCTCACTAGGCTAATCCTCCGCCTAGCGGCGCCGGCACACCGGGTTCTAGTCCCGGTCGGGGCGCCGGATTCTGTCCCGGTTGCCCCTCTTCCAGGCCAGCCCTCTGCTGTGGCCAGGGAGTGCAGTGGAGGATGGCCCAGGTGCTTGGGCCCTGCACCCCATGGGAGACCAGGGAAAGCACCTGGCTCCTGGCTCCTGCCATCGGATCAGCGCGGTGCGCCGGCCGCAGCGCGCCGGCCGCGGCGGCCATTGGAGGGTGAACCAACGGCAAAAAGGAAGACCTTTCTCTCTGTCTCTCTCTCTCTCACTGTCCACTCTGCCTGTCAAAAAAAAAAAAAAAAAAAAAAAGAATCACTTCCTTGGGGCCAGCGCTATGGTGTAGTGGGTAAAGCCACCGCCTGCAGTGCAGGCATCCCATATGGGCGCTGGTTTGAGTCTTGGATGCTCCACTTCCAATCCAGCTCTCTGCTATGGCCTGGGAAAGCAGTAGACAATGGCCCAAGTGCTTGAACCCCTGCACCTGCACAGGAGACCTGGAAGAAGCTCCTGGCTCCTGGCTCTGGATAGACACAGCTCTAGCTGTTGTGGCTATTTGTGGAGTGAACCAGCAGATGGAAAATCTATCACTCTCTGCCTCTGCCTCTCTGTAACTCTGCCTTTCAAATAAATAAATAAACCTTTTTTTTAAACAAAGAATCACTTCCTTTTAGTGTATTAAAGAGGATTTTCTTATGTCTCATAAGTTATAGTTACATCCAAGAGCTTGCAAAAGATGTATCATTCTTGGGTTCTTCTTTAAAGATTAAATAAGTTTTGAAAGGAAAGAAAGGGGAGGAAGGAAGGGAAAAGAAGAAGGGAAAAAAAACGTGAAATCACCTTTGAGATGCAGTAACTGAACAGCCCTTGTCTGGACTGCTGAAGAACAGAACTTTTCTTTTTTTCTTTTTCTTTTTCTCATACTAAGCATTGAATTCTTTACCTAGAATACAGTTAATCCCCTGTATATGAAGTTAAATGAAAATTGGTTTTAGTGAAAAACAGGACAGGGAACTGGAGAGGGAAGAGGAGCAGGGGTAGGAGGGCAGGTGTGGTGGGAAGAATTACAATGTTCCTAATGTTGTGTTTATGAAATGTATGCAAGTAAGTAAATAAGTAAATGAATAAAAATAAAGTTAGAAGAAGAAACCATATATGTGCTAGAAGAAAACACTGGTGAGATCCTCTTGCATCTCAGGCAAGGCTTGCTTACCCATGACTCAAAAATTCAGAGGAAATAAAATATTGTTAACTTTGTATAAAAAATTGCACTGCAAGAAACACTAAAGTTTTAAAAACATTTGTAATATGTATTATGGATAGATATTTAATAGTTAAAAATTTAACAAAAGAAAGGGCTTTGAGAATCACTGTCAATGTGGCACACAAAATGTGAAATTGTGTGGCTGCCATTGTGGTGCAGCAGGTTAAGCCACCACCTGCAGTGCCGACATCCCCGATGGGCACCAGTTCCAGTCTCGCTGCTCCACTTCCCATCCAGATCCCTGATAATGCTCCAGGAAAAGCAGCAGAGAATGGTCTAAATCCTTGAGCCCTGCACCCACATGGGAGACATCAATAAAGCTCCTGGCTTCTGGCTTTGGCTTGGCCCAGCCATTTGGGCAGTGAACCAGAAGATGGAAGATCTCTCTCTCCCTTTCTCTGGAATTCTGCCTTTCAAATAAATAAATTTAATTTTTTTAAGTGTGAAATTCCTCAGTCTGATAGAAGACATCCTCAGTGTGCAGGCCCATCCTATCTAAAATGGTAGCCACTGGCCACTTGAATCTGGTGAGCCTTGAATTGTAGCTAAATTGGGCTGTGTGGCAAGTGTAAAATACATGCTGAAATTTGAAGAGAGTACACACCTAAAGAATATAAAATATCTCAGTAATATTTTTATTAATATGGATTTTATAATACTGTGGATATGTTTCAACAGCATATACTATTAACATGTATCTCACGGATTTGTTTTTAGAACACGGGGGTGCTAGAACATTAAAAATTCCACTTGTGTCTTGCATTTGTAGTTTGCATGATATTTCCACGGGGCTGATGGACTCTGCTGACCTGCTCACAGCGCTGGGAAAAGCAAGCCCATAGCTCTTCCCTGAGCACCACCAGGGACAAGACCGCAAACCTTCCTCTGCAAAACAGGGTTTCTTTCTGGGGGTATTTGGAAGACACTGTTAATAGACAGTGGCAAAGAACAGTTATCTTTCACCACACACATTTGACAGGGCTTACTTTGAGAAAAGCTGTGGAAGTGTAAAGTCAAATCAAAACTCAAAACTAATTAAAACCCTTGCCTAAAGAAGCCTCGTCAGTGCCCAGCACAGGAAGGAAAGACCTGTGATGAGGCATGCCTTTGTGCAAGTCAGCACTCCCCTAGCTGTGGCTCCAGGCTGTCATCACTGTCTCTCCCCACCCCTTGTCGTTGTAAACAATAAGTAATTGGACTTCTGTTCACCTCCTTGCCATTCCTAATTACTTCTCCCCTGTTGATGCCGACGTTTTTAAACAAAAGCTGCTTGGAGGAATTGAAATACTTTTGATATTGTTACTTAAACATACAACAGGGTCAGGATTTTAGTTGCTGTTTGTGGTAGGGGTATGGTGCTGGAGTTGCATAGGAAACGAAGCACTGATGAGGAATTTAGCCCCTAGTGGCAGGAGTTCAGAGGTTGTTTTGGAATCCTAATGGAACTCTCCATGGTGGAGTAAACTTCCCACATCTGTAGTCCCACCAAACCTGGGTCCTTACTATAGTGCATCTCTGCTTTGCAATTTTAGCCTGCAGTGGAAACCCCACCCTGCCCCTTTTGTGACACATGGGTGGATAAATTCCCAAACCCTTGATGTCACCAGGGATACTTTGCCTGGCTGACCTGCCCCTTTCTGCAGCCACACGGGAGATGCTTTCCCCCGACATGCTGCTCCAGTTGCCCTCCCTGGACAGAGAGAGCTACCATTTGCTGGTTAATGCCTCAAATGCCCCTGGAGCTGGGGCTGACTGAGCTGAAGCTGGGAAGATGAGAACTCAGTCCAGGTTTTCTACGTGGGCAGCATGGATTCAACCATTTGAGCCATCACTGCTGCCGCCCAGGGTCTACCTTAGCGGGAAGCTGGAGTCAGGAGCCGGAGTTGGGACCTGAATCCAGGCACTCTTAACTGCTAGACCAAACACTTGCTGCTGGCCTTGCTTCTTGTCCTCAGTCAGGTCCCGCTGCCTCCAGCCTATGGCCTGTCTGTGCAGTGCTGTCTGCTTCCAGTATGCCACCCCCCCTTCTCTCTCTCATCATATAGCTCATTTGTCCTCTGAGCTTAACTCCCTGGGCATCTTCTGTGGAAGCCCGAGCTTTTCTATCTGCTCCGATGGTGGCCACGGCTTTTATTTCAAAGTGCTTGCTTATCACAGTTGCTGCTATAGGGCTGGCGCTGTGGTATGATTACTTGAGGTTTGTCTTTGCCACTCAATTTTAAGCAGCTGAACAGTGGAAATAATACTCATTTTGTTCACTTGTGTAGCCCCAGGACTAAAGTCTCAATAAATATTTGCTGAATGAATGAATAGATATGTTCATTCTGCAACTCCTCCAGACCACCCAACTACACTGGAGAGGGTGTTGTCTGTGTGGCGGGGTTGGAGGAAGGGACAGTTTCCTGCCCTCTCCTTCCATTGGGTGGAGGGGAACCCTGTGTGGCATCCAGTAGTTGTGTGTGGAGGAGGTGGGAGGTGATGGTGAATTAGGTGGGTCAGTTACAAGGTTACACGTCAGGCCAGCTCAGGCACATCGAAAAGATGAGTTACAGCCCCTAACCTCGAGCCACTGCTCCTTGGCCTGAGCTGTTCTCACTCCCTGCAATTTCCCTCTCTCTTGACTTCCAGTCCTCTTCCTCTTTCCCATAGCTCATCCACTCCAGCTGCTGTGACTCCCCCGGCCCCTTCCTTTCACATGCTGGCACCACCTTCCTGCTGGTCTGGCCGTTTCCCATGGGAAGAATCAAGCTCTCCTGGGATGCTTGGAGTCAGTTTCCCATCTGACTACAGTGGTTTCTACTCCTAACACATTCCTGTAAGATAGCCTGGGTCTGGCTAGCCATCACGGAGGCTGGCCAAGTGCACCTCCCTGCCTCTGGCCTACAGGGCTGGCACCATGGACAGAGTTTCAGATGAGGCCACTGTTTGGGGGAGTTCTTCAACTCTGCATGTCACAGCTGTCATGCTGTTATACAGCAGGTACTGCATGTCTTGCCTTTGCATAAGTGCTTGATTTGTTCATTAGACAAATCTCCTTACCCTTGATTTACCAGAAGGAGGCTGCTACTTACCACCTCCAAGGACAATGCCTCTGTCCAAGTCCCTACTTGGACCTGCCATCTTTCTCCAGAATTAGTGCCATGTTTCCCTTGTTCTACCTTGGCTTCCCAATTTCAGTCCCAAATTCAGAGTGATCTGTTGAAATATGTCAACCATGTCACTCCCAGGCTAAGGATCTTCCAAGGATTTCTCACCTAGAGTGAAGCTGAAGCCCATGCAATTGGCTTCTCCAACTTTGTGTCTTACAAGCTCCCCTAGTTCTTTGCATACCAGCAACACTGACTCCCTTCTGGCTCCTTGAATGTGCCAAGTACGTTCCTGCCTCTGTCCTTTGCGTCTACTGTCTCCTCTGCCTGGAACACATTCGTGTGTGTAGCTCACTCTCATCTCCAGGACTCTGCTCCAGTGTGATTTGACAATGTGTGGACTGTGTCTTTCCTCTAACCTGTGATATGGCTCCTCTTGGCTTTACTCTCTGAAAACAGAAAGACATAGCACTGGGATTACTGTTAAACATAGGCAGGTTAAGAGCTCCCTTTAGACAATTATCTCTTGATTGGGGGCATCTGATGAATTCTAAGAGATCATAGAGACTAGGGCTATCATTTCTAAATTAAAAATAAAGTGAGAGGGTGGGCATTTGGCCTACTAGTTGGGATGCTGGTTAGGATGCCTTGGTTTGATACCTGTCTCTAGATTCCCACCAGAGCAGACCCTGGGAGGCAGCAGTAGAGGCTCAAGTAGTTGAGTCCTTGTCACCCATGTGAGAGACCTGGACTGAGTTCCTGGCTCTTGGCTTCAGCACGTCTCCACCCAGCCATTGTAGGCATTTGGAGAGCATGGTGTGTGTCTATATTGTTCAAATAAAATAAAATTTATATAATATGTATATATATATATATATAAAGCAAAATCACTTCTGCAAGCTTTAGAGTTACGAAGCCATATGACCATCTAGTGTAGTATTAAGTGCGCTGATAAAAGAGGTCATCATTGCCTCATTTGACATATAAAAAAAGAAAGGCTGAGAGAGAGGTAACATTATTAATATAGAAGCTGGATGCTGTGAGGGGGGACCTAGGCCTAGACGTCTTTTGTATTGCCACCACCCCAAGCCTGTCCCCTCACCCAAGCCAATGGCATTATAAGGATCTTAGACATAGTAAAAGAAGGAATTTTCTGGAAAACTCTACATGGACTGAATACAATGGCCCAAATATGGATGCTCTTCACCTTACCATCTGAATCTTCATCAAAACCATCATTGTCACCATTCATCTAATTGTCTATAGTTCATTGTTTTGTCCATAGGAGAGTGTTAGGACATAACACATGCAGTTGCTAAAACACATGACCCTCACCCCTTTTAAGTCTGACCAAAAAAGTCACTTCATAATGGTGTGGCAGCCTACTGGAAAGTGCAACCCACCCACTCCCTACTCTGTATGTCCACTCCCTCATTTACTGTTATTTCTTTTCTCTCATAGTACTTTTGTGACACATAACCTAATTTAATTACTTATTACTTATCTATTGCTTATTTCTTAGCTCCTTTGCCTAGAGTATATGCTCTGTGTGGACAGAGTCTTTGTTTTGATGGTGACTCAGAACAGGGCCAGGCTCAAAAAAGCCACAATAAATCAATGAATAAATAAATATTATTACATTTCCCCATCTTGCATGTAGTCAGCCAACCCTGGAGGTAAGCTCCAAACTCCTGAGTCATCTGTGCATGTTCCGCACTCCCTCACCCTGCCAATGAACTGCTGCCTACATCTTAGAGATTTATTCCATCTTATTTTTGTCCCTCTGTCTCTCTGCAGGATGCCTTCCTTTCCTGGTCCTTGAGCAGCTCTCATGTGGATGATTACAGTGCTCTTTGGATTGGGATCCCTTGTTTTCCTCTGCCTCCATCCCATCTATCCACCTGCCACTCTGCAGCCAGAATGAAATCTGAACTCTGCAAACCAGAGCATGCCACTCGGATGCTTAAACTTTTCTCAGTGATTAGAGATAGAGCCTATGTCAAGAGAAGAACCTGGCTTTCGTGAGACAAATTTACATAATATTGTGGAATTCTCTCTTAAAGACTACAAAATATTCATTTTGTAAACCTTATGAACACATTGCCAGGTACGCAGTGTACAGACACATCATTAGCATAGGGCTAAGTGGAGATTTGAATGGGCAACCTCCATCTACTGTCTCAGAGAGTGGGGCCTAGCATCAGAGTCCACTACTAACTGGCCATGTGACTAGGGCCAAGTTGCTTAATCTCACCTGTCTCTGTCATCAGTGTAAACAGGAATGGTAACAGTATCCACCTCATTGTGTTGCTGCAGAGATTAAAATACTTAATATACATGAAGCACTTAGTTTCTCACACATCCTAACCAAGCAACAAACCTTAGCCAGCAGTTATCACATCTCTGATTACCACTTACCTAGTCTCTGTGTGATCTTTAAACTTTTAGAATTAGGACAAACATTTCTCAAAGGAAGGGTGTGACCATTCCCCAGGAGGCCCACGGTGCCATCAGCCGTGTGTCTGCCACTTCGCTGAGTGACAGTGTGACTGAATAACTTGTGCCTTTTCTGACACACCTCTCAGAGGGCCAGCTTCGCCCGCTGCCCTGACCACCTTGTTTGAAGAAGCTGTCACCAAGTGCTCTGCCCGCTAACACGGGTCTCCCTCCGAGTTCCCGTCAGGTCCCAGCCTTCATCCTTGGCTCGGGTTTGTATTGATTCTATCTCATCCTTATTGTTCACGGAATAAATTGCTTTCTCTCACACATTTTGGTGTTAGATAGAATTCCTTCTTGTAATCTTCCATTTCTTATATACTTGGATGTACAAAAAAAAAAAAAAAAGTGCCCACTGAATTCCCTCTACTCCTAGTGACTTTGGGAAATTACTCGAGCCCTCTGGATCTCACTCTCTTCATTTCAGATAAGAGGTGGAATTAGATGATATTCAAGTTCTCCCCGTATTTCACATTCTATGATCTCTTAGTTTGATAGCCTAACCCATGACCAACAATAATATGGCTGCTCCCATTTACAGGTGCCTGTGAGACCTTTTAACTATACTGTTTCTAGTCTTTTCAGTAATTCTTTGAGGGAGATACTATATACCCATTTTTCAGATGAGGAAAACTAACGCGAGGAACTATTTAAAAAACACAGTTTGCTTAAGTGACTCAATGAGACAGGGCTAGGATTCCACCTTGAGTCTAACTTCAAAGCCTGGAACCTTTCCCTTTCTCTGGAATGTCTCATGTGTCATATTTCTTTTGTAGTGCTCTTGGCCATGGAGGACAGACCTAGGCACAAGACATGATCTGCAATGACCTTTCAGTTGCATTCCATAACTCAAGAACAGGGCTCTGGCCAGCGCCGTGGCTCACTAGGCTAATCCTTCACCTGCAGCACCGGCACTCTGGGTTCTAGTCTAGATTGCGGCGCTGGTTCTGTCCCAGTTGCTCCTCTTCCAGTCCAGCTCTCTGCTGTGGCCCAGGAAGGCAGTGGAGGATGACCCAAGTGCTTGGGCCCCTGCACCCCATGGGAGACCAGGAGGAAGCACCTGGCTCCTGGCTTCGGATCAGTGCAGTGCGCTGGCCGTGGCGGCCATTTGGGGGGTGAACCAACAGAAGGAATACCTTTCTCTCTGTCTCTCTCTCTCACTGTCTAACTCTGCCTGTAAAAAAAAAAATTGGAAATTTATATTTACTAAATCAAAGTTAAAAAAGAAAGAAAGAAAGAAAAAAGAACAGGGCTGCATTCACACATTTGCATACTTGCCCCTGCTGCTGCCCTGCTGTGTGGCTGGGCCCTCTTGGGGCTCCTGGAGGCTGGCAGTTTGGTAGAAAGCAGCCCACATGGGGAAGAAGCCGTTCTTCTACTCATTAGTGTATGACTGCAGGTTACCTGACTCCTAATAAGCCTAAGTTCACAAATTATTTGTATTCATTAAATATACATGAGGACAATAATGCCTGCCTCCTAAGACTTACAGGAGAAGTTTAAATGAGGAAATGAATGCAACATCAGTGTGTAATTTTTGTTTTTGTTCCAATTCAACCTGGATGCAGAACTCAGAACACCTTGAAGTTATTTCACACACACACATGCTAGTTAGCAGCAAAGAGCTCCCTGATGACCTTTCAAGGTTACAGGAGAGAGGGCTTATTTCACACACCCTGTAGCATATAACTCACTACCCACCTTCTGACTTGCCTTTCCCTAAATAATTTTAAGCCTTATTGGTCCTGCCTCCTATCCCTCCCTCAATTTCAAATAGTTCCCCCACTTGAATATGCAAAATGCCACAACACCAGATTTACTTTCCAAACTCATGTGCCTAACTCTTGATGATGTTTAGAAAACAAAGTCTGTGCTGTTAACATGAATTATACTTTGAGCAGTCAGTATGTTATAAACAATAAAAGAGTATTTTTCCTTAGTCATTATCATCACCATCTTCATTGTGAAAACTTCTATTGGCGACTTAGAAGAAAGAGCAGGGGGGAGAGGGAGTGTCAGAGGAAGAGGGAGGGAGAGAGGGGGAGGGGGAGAGGGAGAGTGAGGAGGGGAGGGAGAGAGAAGCAGGCTTGAAAATGAGAGACATGGTAATTTAAATCCAATTTTCAAAAGAGTTATAGAAGGATTGGGAGATGTAGTGCTGGGTAAAGTAGCTCTGGAACTGAATCTCCTGTGCTCAGAATAATTGGCCCAGACCCCAAACCTAAGTATAACCTGGAGACACAGAATCCCAGAGAATTCTCAAAGCTACTCAGTCAATCAGTGGCCGCTTCTGGGAGAGGGTCTCAAAGGCCACTGTACATCTGCCTGACCTGGAGGGTCAGAATCCTCTTCCTAGACTGACTCTGGTGTCCTCCATGAGCTGAGTCCAGTCTCACTGATCAACACTCCCTCTCACAGACCGCCCGCCTGAATCTACCATGCCAGTGTCTTTCATTACCCTTTGGGGAGGGTTCCGTGTGAGAATTCAGTGGAAATCAAATGCATCTGGAAAAGGGGGCATGGAAGCAATGGAGAGCTGCAAACGAATGGAGGAATGAAATTAAAGCTATCAAAATAAAAAGAACATTCCTGAACCCAAGTCTTTGATTATTCCTTGTCATCTACAGGCGAAGTTATTTTATGTGTTGTAAACTAGATTCATTTCCAGTAACTTCAAGTGTTATGAATCATCCAGTGATAGCAGGCCTGCCAAGGGGGACAGAGACTGGATGGAGACTGGGGTCCCTGAAGAGCAGAGGAGAGAGGTTCAGGAAAGGGGCTGGTGATGCATTTCCAGTTTTACAATTTACAACCTCCTAGGGATGTTTAATCCTGATTTTCTTCTTCCTCACAAATTAATCTTCCTGTATGACTTTTAACAGAGCAGAAAAAGGATTCATCTGAACAATAAAAATTCTAATTTTCCGTCATTGCCTGGTATCTGTGTGGTGAAGATCTTAGGAATTAGAGCTGGAAATGGAAAGAACCAGGGGGATTGTTAGTGACAGCTGTAAGCATTGCTCTTGTAGCTGGATTTTCTCCACCAGTAAACTTGGAATGAATCTGATATGCTGTTAATCCCCTTATGGAATTCTCAGCAAACTTAAGACTGCACCGGTTAGAGACACTGAGCAAGAGTTGTGGAGTGGGTCTGGGAGCCCAAGGGCCTTGGCATCTGTGAAACAAAGACAGGAGTCTGCAGCCCCTGATAATAATAGAATGTTCTAGGGGGAAAAACCTTAAAGTTTTCTAAAAGGAAGGGATAACATAGAAAAAAACCATTGCTCCATATCAAATTAAATATTCCATATGTACTCTTAAGTTAAAATAAAGAGAATTGGACTATAGATTTGACTAAAATGTTAAGAGAATTGAACCCAAACTTAATATCCTTAATTTTCCTTTTAAGATTTGAAATTTTTCTTTTTAAAATTGGAAACGGTGCAGGGATTGCAGTGAGCTCTGAAGTCTCTCTGGGTGGTGGCTGGCCTCATAATGTGAACAGCATTCACAGTAGGTCAAGTCTACATAGTCTGTGACTTCTAAGCCCCTCTGTGGTGAGGGTTCATCAAGAGAGGGAGCTGTGATGCTGCTGGTGGTGGTGATAACGTGGTGTTGGAGTCGTGATGGTGCTGGAAGTGGGGTTGGAAAATTAATGAGGTGCTGGTTGTAGTCAGAGTGATGGTAGACAATGAGAGGGCAGTCATGGTGGTAGGGATGGAGGTGGTAGCAATGAAGGTGGCAGTGGTGATGGTGATGAAGGGTGTGCCATTTGCACTCAGGTTTCAAGGATAGGCAGGAATTTCAACAGGCAGGAATTTCTTGGCATGGAACTTTGCAATCTGAGGGAGCTGTGATTCATTTCTTCTGACTTGCTGGTGAGGATGTGGAAGATAACCCCCTGAAAGGTATACAGGGGATACCTGGTGAAATCTTGAACGCTAGGACAGGAATTTTACATAAATTTTTGTCCTGGATGATTACTAGAATCATTAGCCAGAAGGTAACTAGAAATATTCAAACAAAAAATGAAGAGAAACTCATTCACAGTAGTCACCCTTAGAATAGAGAAACACAAGTAGATATGAGTCATTTGTGAATAACATAACTTGACAGCTGACTGGGGGTGAGGACCCAGGGAGAGCCACTCTCTGGCAATGTTCTGCGAGGGCATGGGTGGTACATTGTGTTCCATGACTTGTCCACGGGATCTGTACTGTGCCCAGTACATGGTAGGTGCTCCAAAGACCCCTGGGACCTGTTTAACCACTCAGAGTCACCTGGCCGAGGTGCTGAACATGTGGCTGGATTTCACCTTCTTGCTGTCCCTTTACTCTCCCCGAGGATGGATGCTCAGGTGGTGGCACACCTGCACAAAGACCTAGTTTTCATGGTCATAACATGACCCACAGTTTAGGCAGGTTCCAGGCAATCGATAGGAGATGAAAGCGTTGTACAAAGCTCCTTTCTCCCAGCCCCCACTAGAGGCGGGAACTCACTGAAGGGTGGAAAGTCTGGGATGTCCTCATGGAAGAGGTACAGCTTTATCTGAATGAAGAGGAGAGATAGGTGCTGGATCAGCAGGGAGGTTGGGAATGTGTTTTAGGAGGGAAGAAATCAGGGCCAAGGGTCATCACTGACATCACCAGGTCAGAATTGCAGAGGTGGGGGATGCAGGGGTTGTTGGACAGACTCATTCTGTTCAAACTAGGGGAGGTCTTGCATGCTCAGGTTCAGAAGTTGGACTTCTCTCGAGGGCAGAGGCTTCTGGGGCAAGACAATTAGTGCTCACCTAATGTCCATGAGCTCTCCTTCACAACTGGTCTCCCTGTAGTCAACTGAGATCCTGAGGGTGAACTCAGGCAAGCAGAAATATGAGCACAGAGAAGCCTTCCCCTTGGGTGCTCTTAGGATCCACCCCTGTCAGCCCCTCTGTGGTGCCATTTAGTGCTCCAGCTCCAAGTTGGTGCAGGCTCCATCACTCAGGTTCTTGACTATGAAGAGAAGGATTCTACTGGTTGGAGTAAGATGCAGACTTGGAGTGAGCAGTGAGATTTTCTGATGGAGAATAAAGGTCTGAGGTTAAGTTCACCTGATAGCATGAAAGGTTTAAGGTCAAGAAGATGAATGGTGGGGGTGGTGAGGGTGGGAGCTTATGAACAAGACCAGCTCCTCTTCACCTGTGAGGTTTCCTCTCATGGGCATCATAGCACAGTACCCTTCTGCACTGGGGAGAGCAGCAGATGATGGAATCCATCATCTCCTTTCTCTGGGCATCATTTTCCTTTGCCACTCTTCTAACATCTTAGAGCAGATGAATTGATATGCTTAGAAGGAAGGGGGATACTCTAGGTAAAGCAGGAGTGAAGAGGCAGGGCCTCTCTCTGCCCCAATAAACATCACCCAGCTCCAGTGGAAGCACTTCAGAACTCCCAGAGTGACACAGAATCATTTGAAAAATCCCTGGTAATGGCTGGCGCCGTGGCTCACTAGGCTAATCCTCCACCTGAGGTGCTGGCACTCTGGGTTCTAGTCCCGATTGGGGCACCAGTTCTGTCCCAGTTGCTCCTCTTCCAGTCCAGCTCTCTGCTGTGGCCCAGGAAGGCAGTGGAGGATGGCCCAAGTGCTTGGGCCCTGCACCCGCATGGGAGACCAGGGGAAGCACCTGGCTCCTGGCTTCAGATTGGCGTAGTGTGCCAGCTGTAGCGGCCATCTAGGGGGTGAACCAATGGAGGGAAGACCTTTCTCTCTGTCTCTCTCTCTCACTAACTCTGCCTGTCAAAAAAAAAAAAAAAAAAATCCCTGGTAGCGTGAAAGGGCACAGGGTTTTGGGTTAGAAGACTTGGATTGGTGGAACATCAGATACTATTTCTATCAGTTTGCATAAATTTCATAATCCCGCTAGGCTGCATTCA